GGTCAAGATAGCTCTGTAACACACAGGCTGGTGGCTGCAGGAGCACACAGCCACAGCAGGCAGCACACCGCCACAGCACAGCGCTGCAGGGCAGCCGCTGCTGGCGGCGCGCAGCAGCACACGGGAAAGTCAAGGTGCCGGTGAGTGTGAGTCAGCGGAGCATCACCGAGTGACAACAGTGCCCAACAGTGGCGCCAGTGGCTACACATGTCCCAGTTTTCATACACTTTGTGACATTACATCAAGATCCGGCAGCCACGATGAAGCCTGCAATGCGCCCTGAGATCGCCATGTCGCGGAGAGCCGCGCTTGCTCTGCCGGCCCTGCCGTTTTTGATTTCGGCACGTCCCAGCAAAGCATTCGTCTCCAGTGATGGTGCGGCGCCGGCCAATCCCCTTTGGCGCCTCTAACTGCTTGATCGCCACCTCCATCTCGTCCGCACAGCATGCCTGCAGCTGCGAGCACCGCGCGCCCGGCACCCTCTATCCAGCCAGCCATGCGCGCCCATTCAACATGCCGATTGCAGTGGCCGTCAAGGCGCTGGCCGACCTCCCCATGAGGCGCTTGAAGCTGCCGAAAGGTTCGCTTGCCGGGCACCCCATCCTGCCCTGCCTGCCGTCCGCTGCTGGCTGGCGTGCGCCGCCTGCAATCGGCGGGCGCGCCCTGGAGTGCCGCCGCTTCAGAGCTCCCCTACTCGCACTGCCATTTACTTTGTGCTCTCCTCCCACGCCCGACTTGCTCGCACGCCCCGCATCTCTTCGCCGAACCGCCTCCACAACCCCCAGGCGGCGTGGGGCGTGACTACCTGCTGACTCAGCTGACCATCAAGGGGCAGGGCCCCTTTGACTTCATGGTGGACAGCGGCCTCACGGCTGAGCTCATCACGCCGCACCTGCAGCAGGCTTTGGGCATAAAGGGCGGCAACACGCGCATATCGGGGCTGGTGGGTGCGGGACGGCGGGCGCGCGCGGGCGGCCGTGGATTGGTAGGGTTTGAAGCATATGTGTGCGGGGCATGGATGGTGATATGCAAAGGAGGGGTTAAGTATGGGTGGGGAAAGGTGAGTATCAATAAAAAGTCAGGGAACCTGTACAGCCTGCCGTCTGATCAGCAGAATGAAACAGCCACGAAGCTGCGGCTGCGGATCATCCCCCTAACCGTCTCCTGCGCCCGTCGCCGCCGCCGCCGCCGCCGCTGCGGCTTGGGCCCCCTGCCCTGCAGGGCGCGGGCGGCTCGGTGTCGGCCGGCCAGCTGGTTGAACTGGAGGGCGCTGCCCTGTGCTGCGGCGACTTTCCCTACACGGGCGGCCGCAGCCTGCCGCTGCCGCCGCTCAACGCGGTGGTGACGTCATTCCCTCAGGAGCACCTGGTGCGTGTGAATCAGCGCCACCTCCAGCGAGGGCGCCGGCAGCCCCGCTGTTTCTGAGTTCTGTGGCGAGACGTGCGATGTCTCTGCCGCAGCCGCCTGTCAGCATTGCCACGCAAAACCATCAACCACCTCGCACCTGCGAACGCATGCGTGCACGCGCACTTGCACATGTCGTGGAATCCCACAACGCCGCTCTCTCGCCACCACCAACCAGTTTCACACTGAACGCACTTGCATGCATACCTGCACGCAAACTTGCACGCACGCGCACTCACACTCGTTCACGCCAGGACCCCGCACACGACCCCGTGGAGGGCATGCTGGGCATGGAGATGCTCTCGCTGTTTGACGCCGACTTCGACTTTCCAGCGGGGCGGCTGCGGCTGTACAAGCCAGGAGAGGGCGTGGCCGTGGCCCAGGCGGCGGGCCTGGTGGAGATACCCGCGGCGGGTGGGTAGCGCTGAGGTGGCGAGGGGCGGGGTCGGTTGCGCAGGACGGCAGGGGTTGGGGTGGGAGGGGCGCGACCCGGCTGCCGCCCAGCCAGTAGGAGGCTGCCGGCCGCCCGCGCTCTCGCCGCCAGCGCAGGCTTCCCCCTTTAGCCAGCAGTAGCTGCGCAATGTGCCCTGAACCTGTCAGCCGCCCGTCAAATGGGCGGACGCGCCTCATCCCTCCAGCGAACATTTGGCCCATCGTGTTCTGCTCGGACCCATCAGCGGTTGCACCCAGTCCATCTGCGGCCCTTCCATCGCTGCTTGCATGCGCCACCCAATCTGTGCATGTCCATGCATCCCTCACCTACCACCACCTTGGCACCCTTGTCGCTGCACCCCACCAAAACTCCAGCAGCCGCACCCCCTGTGCCCACTCTCCCCTGCAGTTCTCAATGAGTCAGGCCTACTGGGCATCCGCGCCACCTCCCCGGGCGCCCCCTCCCCCCAGCCCTTCACCGCCATCCTGGACTGCGGCGCCTCCTTCAGCGCCATCAACTGGGCGGCGGCCGGACTGGCCGGACTGCCGCCGAGGGGGGACAAGGCCTACCAGCGGGGCCCACAGATATTCAGCGTGGTGGGTGCGGGCGCTGTTTCAGTGTATGCTTGAGTTGCAGTGTGAACGTTTCTGCCTGCAAATCTGCATTTTGGGGGAGAGCTGCATCAGCAGGGATTGGGATCGGGGGGTGCTGAAACTCCAAGGAGCAAGACGCCTGTTGCAGCCCCTCCAGAATGCAACCGTCATCAGCGCGAGACAGTCTTTGCAAGTGGGCACAGACAGCCGCGCTCCCGATGTACTTGTCACCCGCCCAATTCCATGATAGTCTATCGGAGGTTGCCGATCCCCAGGCTCCTCTTGCTTCCCTTGGCGACGCCCTGCCTCCTCCTGCCCTTCCCCACGCACCTCGTGCACACACCAGCCCCTCCTCACCCCCCCCATGACGCATGTCTTCCCTCATGCCCTTCCCCCCCTCATGCGGCCCCAGGGCGTCGACGGGCGCCCAGCCCCCTACCCCACGCACCCCCTGCAGCTGACCTACAAGGGCGACGCCTCCAAGGACCCCCGCACCGGCGCGCTCACGTTCGAGGCCCCACCCGCGGCGTGGCGGCCGTGGGGCAAGGTGGACGCGGCGGTCGGGGACCTACCCGTGTTTGGGCAGCTGCTGGGGGACCCTAGCGGGCGCACGCCCTTCACCGGGCCCGCGGTGCGCGGAGGCTCTTTTGGGGGATTTTTGTGTGTTTTGACGAGGTGCATGGGGTCCGTCTTGTTGGGGGTGTTTTGGAGGGAAAGTGGGGGGCCGGGTGCAGCCGTGCCGGCTGGATGACTGCAGGGGCAGCCGCGAGGACGGAGCGCGCGGCGGCGCGCGGCGCCAAAGTCTCCAACGAAGTATCCAGAACACCTCGTCTGCCCGTGGCGCCGCAGCCGCTCACTCTGGAGGCATTCCTGCATCCGCACGCCGCCCTTGCTCGCCTGGCAAACTCCCTCACGATCCTCCGTGCTGCGACACCGCGAAACGCCGCCGCAGGTGCTGCTGGGGCTGGACGTCCTGTCGCAGCGCCGCACCATGCTGTGCGCGGGCCAGCCCGGCCAGGGCCGGCGCAGGCAGCTGTTTGTGAGCGGCCGTTAATCAAAGGCGCTCTTGGGCTTGATTGGACTGGCAGCGGCACTGTCGGTCGGCTGGGGTTGGCTGGTTGCGTTTTGCCGTCTGCTGGAATGATCCCAACTGGCTGCGTGAGCGTTTGGGCGCATTGCCGGACAATTTTGCGCCAGCCAGTCCGTCCGCTCAAACTCTCTGCACTGCATGTTGGACTCCAGAGGGTGTTGCTGCAGCTCAATTTTGTCATCCGCTCCTTTTCCCTTTGCCGGTGCTGCTGCGGAGCCACGACGGCAGCGCTCTGCTAGCTGGTGCTGGCATATTCCAAATCTATCGCTCACTCGTAATTGCCTGATGTTCACCGTCCGTCGTACATTCCGGAATGGCCATACCGCCTTTCTGGCTTGGGCCGAAGCGCAGCTGTACCAGGTGTTCGGCTGGGCATACCGCGCGTCAAGGGGCCTAGCCAAGGCCAAGGGCCTTCCAGCAGGCAGCCGCTCAGAGCGTTGCAGCCAGCCTCAAAATCTACGGGGTGTCAATTGTCAAGAGACGCGCCTGGAAAGGCACCTGTGCCTGCACCCAAAGCTGACAAAAGCCGCCGACGGCCGTGACAGGACAGTTGACAAACAGTTTCGCTGGTATGCCAAGAGTCCCGGCGTCCAAGAGCTCTGCGTGTGTCGTACAGCCAAGCAAGTTTGCACGCATGCTGTCATAGACCTTATAGCAGCGGCTGACGAGGATGTCGGTTTGGGAAGTTGGTTCCGGAAGTGCGAAACCATCGATTGAGTAGATGGCGCCAGCTCATACAATATTATGGATGCTTTGATGAGTCTTTGTCGTATCTCCAAGGCCTGTCGGCCTAGACTACGATAGATCTGACGGATGCTCCCAGCCGTATGTTCCCCGCGGCCCTCGTGAAGCCACGACGCGCATTACAATGCCAGTCGACGCGCTCTCTCGCGCGTGCCGACAGCTGCTGGCCACGCTCTCGCTGCCCGTCGCGCCCGAGGGCGCCGACTCGCCGCGCGCGCGCGACCTCCTTGCCGCCGCTGTCGCGCCTTTCGCTGCGCCCGGCACCGGCCGCATACCCTGCGCCTGCGTCGTCGCGGAGAGCATTGAGCGCGTGCTGCGCGAGCTGTGGCCCGTCGGGGCAGGCAACAGCCGCCGCGCGCTGCTGACGCTGCTCTGCTCCCAGGCGCTCACCGCGGCCGAGGAGGCCGCGCGCGCCGCCGTCATCGAGGCGCCCTGCGGCGGCGGCGGCGGCGGCGCGGCCGGCAGCGCGCGGCC